TTTTGTTACTTTTCTAGATCAATGAAATCTCAAAGGTTTATCCATATTGCGTATCTTCTAATCTACGAATTTATCCTACAATTCTTCAAAGAGGACAGCCCCAAAAGAAGCATGTCCATGCCTAAACTAAGGTTTAACCATGGACATGGGGGCAAGAAAGGGTCTATGCTCTATGGTCAGTGAGTCTACAAAAAGAAAAAGGGGATATGCCACTAACTCCTCTAAGGAGGAAAGGCAGTTATACTTAGTAGATTTCAATCTACAAAGTTTAAAGCCCCAAGGGGCATTGAAAGCCAAAAGAACCTCTAAGGAGGAAAGGCTAACAAAATATAAAAAGTTCTCAAAATGATGAAGGATTTTACAACAAAATAAAACATGGTAGTATTATAAAAATGAAGCACTCAACCATTGAAAAAAGAGGAAGAATAAAAAAAGGTGCATTTCATTAAAAGAAGATTTGGTTCGATGAGCCATTGTCTTAAAAGTTACAACCCCATGTAAAAAAAAATAGAGAGAGAGACTGCAAGGGAATTCCTAATCTTAAGCGTCCCCACCATCGTCATTGCCCTCACCGTCAACAGGAAACCCCTCATTATTGGCAGAGATGAGGGCCACTAGGTTTGCAGAGGAAGCTCAGGTCCAGGTCTGGATGATGTTTCTTGATCCGTTCAATAATCTGTGTTCTAGCAGACTGAAGGATGGCAGTGTGAATCTCTGTGAACTCATCTGACGCGTTGTAGCCCTTAACTACCTAGATGCCGATGTCCGTGATGGCGCTCTCAAATTTGTCCAAAGCCAGGTATTCTTTGACGGCAACCTCAGCACCAGCTTTCCTTCCTTCTTCAAAGCCCTCAGTTTGACCCTCAACTTCCAGCTCTCACGTCTCTGTATTTTCCTTCTAGGTTGAATATTACTTGATGTTCTGGTTTCTTCAGCTTTCCTCTGAAGCTTTTTCCTCTCTGAATAATGCCTTTTTGTGTTTTCTGGTGTCTTCGTACTCTCCTATGTGTTCTCCCTTGTGAAACAGCAACTGTCTTCTTTTTATATTAATGCCCGATTCTCTCTCTTCCCCTTTTTCTCCCCCTGGCGGCTGCCAACTTGTCTTGAGAGAAACATTCCCTTCTAGGGCAACACAAGGGCTGAGGTGTCACTGCTGATGTGCACAGTGGACCCATTTGACACCTCTTCAGCCAGCTCAAACGGATTCCTTTTTTTCTGCTTTGTCTAGCTAGTGTGCTGACATCAATCAGCTGCCAGCTAATCCCAGAATGTCGCCCAGAATGCTGCAGCATTTTAGCCCAGCAATTTCCTGCAAGGAACTCACATATAATTAGCCAGTTTTTCACCTATTTTACTTCCAAATTACCAGCTTTCATTTCAAGAGGTGCAGTGATACGGAATTAGGCCACAGTACATGCAACTCTACAAATCTAACTTAAAACAAACAATAAACGAGAACAATCACTCATGGACAAACAATTTTAGGCTATAAAACCAGTGGATAACTCTAATTTCTTAGAGTTATCACACCCCCAAACTCAGAGTGTTGCTTGTCCTCTAGCAAAACAAAAGTGACAACAAGATAAGAGGAATGAAGTAAAACATAAGAAAAAAAAACTAATGCATACTTTGTGGATAATTTCTCAAGAGATTTTTTTTTTTATATGTCCTTAAAAACACATGTTAGAAGTGCAGCCTAAAGAAAAACATGAATTCCAGCCAAATGTTGATTTCAAATCATGAGATTGCTCCTTCTCTGCTTGGACCTTTCTTATGTGTGTGTGAACAACCAAGTGCCAAATCAACAATGTCAAACTAGTTGGGACCATGCGCATGTGTTTTACATCAAGCTCTTCTTAATACAAGATCAAGCCCCATAAGCTTGCTTTTCAAAACTCTCTTCACTAATGTAAATCAACACAACACCAAGGGTCAATAGGACTTCATTAGGCTTGCAATGTTAGGCTAGGGTAAAGGTAGGATGGAAGGTAATATTTTGGCTCAACTCTCCTTCAAGCACCTTACACTCTAGAACTTTGCAGTCACAAACAACATTCCCATGAAACTCCCCCAAAATCAAGTCTTGCTTTCCCTTGCCCACTAGATTGGCTTTTATTTCTAAATGCCCTTTTATTATACCCCTCATTTTTTTTTATCTACCAAGAATTGCCAACTTGCCTTTTTACGCGAATGCCAACATTGGTGATGAAGTCACCCGGTTACTCAACAAGTTGCAAATCAAGGCGCTTTTCCTTTTTTTTTTTTTTTTGTTTGCTCTTGCCTTGGTCTACCGTTTGACGCAAAAGTGAACATGGGGCTCATGCTCACTCCTGGTTACTAAGTATTCCAAAGCAGCGGAGCAAAGTTTTCTCTCTTTTTTTTTTTTTTTTTTTTTAGTAACAGGAACAAGACATTAAGAGCTCAAGCTCTCCCTGCCCCCAAACTCAAAAATGAGCATTGTCCTCAATGATGCAGGAGGAGCAAGGAAAGAGCAATGAAACTTCAATCACCCACCACCTTATCTCCCACACGAAGAAGGTGGGTATACTGCTACAACAGCTAGGCTATGGATGCTCAATGGGGATATAAAAGCTAAGTTAAGGGTTACAAGGAAGAAAAAAAAATGTATAAGCTCAATGGGGTATGCTAGGGATATGTTCAGTTAAGGTCGGCTACAAGGCTCAAACTTTCCAAAGATAGCCTAAATCATTCCCTTGGTAAAGTGTTAACTTGAGATTTCGCCTCAAGAGTTATCAAGCAAGTTCTAGAGCTTATAAATGGTTTATTTGAAAATGAAGCACATGCACAAGATCTTACCCTAAGTAAGCACCGAATCAATAACACAAGGTAGCATGCATAATGGGAAAAATCACAAGCCACGAGAAATCAATCAAAAGAGTTACAAATCAGTACAAGGCAAAATCACCATATATATATATATATATATATACTTTTTATGAGCTGCACTTCTCTTAACAATTTTTTAGCATGAGACTAAGAAAAATCATCACAAACTATGCAAAAATAATCAATCACAAATAAAGATAACTACTCAACACAGGACAATGAAAAATAAAACAAATGAAAATTTATAACTGAGCGACAATGAGATATAGACGAGAGAGAGAGAAGAGGAAGGACTGCCCTGACTTAGCACTGCCATTTTCATTCTAGCCACTTCCAGTTCACTGCACTCCGCAGCGTCATTCTTCTGGTGGACGCTTCAGGTGCGGCAGATTTTCCTTTCTCTTGGCGCTTGGATGCGGCAGCCTCTTCAGGCTACTGCTGCTCAGCTGGAGGTGGGGTTGGAGAGAGTGGTGTTTTTTCTTCCGTAGGGCTAGGCTCCTCATCCTTAGATGAGGAACTGCATAGATAGTGAGGAAATTTTGGAAAGGAATGGAACCTCCTGGAATTAGCCCTGAAGTGTTTCTGGAGAGACAAATCCCTTTGCTTCGTATATTTCCAAAATTCCCGCATTTGCTGCCAGATTCGTACTGTTGCACCTCACTTATGATGTCAGGGTTGTTTGGCTCAGCAGCAGGCTCTCCTAAGTGAGGTGCATTCGCTGCAGGGGTAGGAGCACCTTCTTCTTCTTGCGCGTCATCGTGCAGGAGCCGCGCAAGAACATTCAGGGAAATAGCTGCGGATGGCGGCTCTTTTGTTTCGTGCTCTTCAACGCTCACTCCATGAGCAATACATAACTGCGTGATTAATGATGGAAACCATAACCCCTCATTCTTACGCCCCACACAGAAGCCTACCTGCTGACGAATCATCCTTCCCACGTTTAGGGGCCTCCCCTTCATCATACAATACAGCAGAATGGCTCTCTCTTTGTGTACTAGGCGGTAGTGCGAGGAAGGCATCAGCCAGAACCTTAGAAAATGGTACCAAATCTTCGGTCCCGGCTGGAGGCACTCCCTGGGAAATGTCATCGACCCTCTGGTTGCTCTCTGCCATTCAGTACCCTCAACACAAAGTTCATTGATAACTTCGTCCAACTGATCCTCGTTTAAACTGTCTGCGAAGTTGTTGAAATGATCTTCCACATCCGGCAAGTCGTAGAGGCTGTTAATTGCCTCAGATGTGAAGGGGATTAATTTTTCTTAGACGAAGATTATGTCAGGCTCTGCAGCATCGTAGTTGGCGTAGAATTCACGAACCAGCTGCACCGTCGCCGCAGGCGGGTTATGGCAGAATGAATGCCATGTGTGCGCGGTGATAACTGAATGGATAAAGCTGGGGTAGCCTAAAGGCCGACCCCTTCTGTACACAAAACCTCTTTCCATATGCAATGCACGCTTATTCATGCACGCATCGAAACGCTGCTCTGCCTCTGGGGATGCAAATTTTTTTACTTCAGTATTCTCTGTGGCCTGCTCCGATTCAGAACTGTCTGAATCTATTAGAATCTGCACTCCCTTTCCCTTGCGCGCCTTGCTCTTGAATGGCATTTTGATGCCTGTACTCCCTTCTCTGCTCTAACTACCCTCTAAAACAAAATTTCCCACTCATTTTCCTTCCTGAAACTCCACAGGCCTAAAATCACCTTTCCTCTGTTCTCAGCAATTCTTTGCTACAATAACACTCCCCTTCTCTGTTCTACCCTCCTTAAAGAGTACGGAGTTAGGGCAGAGCTCTTACTAACCTCAATGGCGATCTCCTCTGTGCTGGCGGCTGGCTGCTCCCCCAAACTCGCGCTGTATCACGTAGGGGAGATGGATGAGATTAGCTATTTGAGAGAATGCCGCGGGTGAGAGGATGTAAATTTTTTTGCTATCTGCAACGGATTGGCTCCTTTTGATCCTGCCAACCAATGAATTATACTCCCAATTAAAATATAAATGCATAATAGCAAAATAAAACAAAATCAAAGGAACAAACAATGGGTTGCCTCCCACGAGCGCTTGTTTTTGAGTCATCAGCCTGACTACCTCCCTGGTTGAGAATCAAGCCTCCTGCAGAGTGGTGAACATTTTGCAACGATCCACTGGACCTCCCTAGTAGTGCTTTAACCGTTGTCCATTTACCATGAATTTCCTCGCAGACTCCTCCTCAATCAATTCCACCGCTCCATAAGGAAATACTTTAGTGACTGCAAAAGGGCCAGACCAACAAGACTTCAGTTTGCCTGGGAAAAGCTTCAACCTGGAGTTGAACAAGAGCACTTGCTACCCAGCTTCGAATGTTCGAGGCAAGATTTTATGGTCATGCCATTTCTTAGTCTTTTCTTTGTATAGCCGAGCACTTTCATAAGCCTGCAGCCTGAACTCATCAAGCTCATTCAGTTGTAATAGTCTGCTCTGCCCGGCTGCCTGCCAGTCGAGATTCAGCTTCTTGAGAGCCCAGAATGCTTTATGTTCTAGCTCCACAGGCAAGTGACACGCCTTTCCAAATACCAGCCTATATGAGGACATTCCTAAGGCTATTTTCAAAGCTGTTTGGAAGGCCTATAGTGCATCATCCAAGCGCACCGACCAATCCTTACGAGTCGGGTTCACTGTTTTCTCGAGTATTCACTTGATTTCTCTATTTGACAGTTCGGCCTGCCCACTGGTTTGTGGGTGATAGGCTGTGGCAACCTTGTGCTTGACACCATATTTAGCAAGCAGCTGCCCCAAGAATTTGTTGCAGAAGTGGGTTCCTTCATCACTAATAATGGCTCAGGGGGTTCCAAAGCGAGTGAAAATGTGCTTCTGTAGGAATCTCAGCACCACCTTGGCATCATTCATGGGTGAAGCCACTGCCTCTACCCATTTTGACACATAGTCAACAGCCACAAGAATGTATTGGTTACCAAATGACACCGTAAAGGGACCCATAAAATCCATACCCCAAACATCAAACAATTCCACTTCTAAGATGTTGTTTAGGGGCATCTTGTTCCTCCTTACTATGTTCCCAGTTCTTTGGCACCTGTCACATCTCAATGCAAACACATGAGCATCCTTAAAGATCAACGGCCAATAAAAACCAGATTGCAGAATCTTCGAAGCTGTCCTCAGGCCTCCATAGTGGCCACCGTAAGGGGAAGAATGGCACCCTTGCAGAATGCCCTCCATTTCTTCTTCTAGTACACACCTCCTTATAAGTTGGTCAGGACATTGCTTGTACAAATAAGGCTCATCCCAGTAGTAGCTCTTGACATCATGGAGAAATTTCTTCCTCTGCTGGCTAGTCAAATCAGGTGGAAGCCATCCACTAGCTAAATAATTTACAAAATTAGCAAACCAAGGTGTATGTGCCTGAGTTGCTGCAAACAACTGCTCATCAGGGAACATTTCAGTTATACTTTTAGGGGTGACTTCTTCCTCTGCCCTCTCAAGCCGGGACAAGTGATCAGCCACTTGATTCTCAGTCCCTTTACAGTCCTTGATCTCCAAGTTGAATTCTTGAAGTAAGAGTACCCATCTGATTAACCGAGGCTTTGCATCCTTCTTTTCCATCAAATACTTGATGGCTGAGTGGTCTGTAAAAACCGTGACCTTTGTCCCTATCAAATAGGCTCTAAACTTGTCAAATGCGAAGACAACCGCCAACAACTCCTTTTCAGTCACAGTGTAATTTAGTTGAGCTCCTGATAGAGTTTTACTGGCGTAATAAATTGAGTGAAACACCCTCTCTCTTCGCTGCCCAACAACTGCCCCCAATGCCCAGTCACTGGCATCACACATTACTCCAATCAGGTGCTCTAATAATAGGTGCTGAAATGAGTTTCGTCTTCAATTCTGCAAATGCTAGTGAGCATGCTTCATCAAAAATAAACTTGCTATCCTTTTCCAGAAGACTACAAAGAGGCTTTGACACCTTTGAGAAGTCCTGAATGAACCTCCTATAGAACCCTGCCAAGAAAGCAAAGCTTCGAAGCCCTTTTACATTAGTCGGCGCTGGCAACTTCTCTATCACAGCAATCTTCGCCTTATCAACCTCTAACCCATCCCTTGAGACTCTATGTCCCAGCACAATTCCCTCATTGACCATAAAGTGGCACTTCTCCCAGTTCAAGACCAAGTTAGTCTATTCACATCTCTTTAGGACCTTGGCCAAGTTCGTGAGGCACTCATCAAAATCCTTACCAAAGACTGAGAAATCATCCATGAAAACCTCTAAATACCGCTCCACCATATCAGTGAAAATAGCCAGCATGCATCTCTGAAAAGTGGCTGAGGCATTGCAAAGTCCGAACGGCATTCTCCTGAAGGCAAATGTGCCAAAGGGACACGTGAAAGTAGTCTTGTGTTGATCCTCCGGCACAATCACAATCTGATTATAATCAGAATACCCATCCAATAGGCAATAAAATTCCTTACCTGCCAGCCTGTCCAACATTTGATCAATAAAGGGAAGCGGGAAATGATCTTTTCTAGTTTCTTTATTGAGTCTCATGTAATCCATGCAAATCCGCCACCCTGTTATTGTTCTTGTGGGGATTAATTCATTCTTCTCGTTCTCAACAACAGTCATCCCCCCTTTCTTAGGAACATATTGAACTGAGCTCACCCATGCACTATCCGAGATTGGATAGATGATCCCTGCATCTAACCACTTTATTACCTCCTTCTTGACCACCTCCTTCATAATCGGGTTCATCCTTCTTTGTCCCTCTATAGACCCCTTTTTATCATCTTCCAAAAGAATCTTGTGCATACAAAAGGAGGGACTTATGCCTTTTATGTCTGCTATAGTCCAGCCGATGGCTCATTGGGATTCTCTTAAAACCTCTATTAGCCTACCCTCTTGGTCCTGCGTCAATAAAGCAGAAATAATGACCGGAAGTGTAGAAGAATCTCCCAAGTAGGCATACCTCAAGTGTGGTGGCAAGGGCTTAAGTTCGAGGATTGGCGGCTCTTTGCTTGAGGGCTGAGTAGGCTGTTGTTCCCGTTCAGTCAAGTCCAGAGACTCAAACTTCCTTGTGTAGCTCGGCATTGTCACATGTGCTCCCACCCACTCTACTCGCTCAATGCATCCTTCCACATTACTCTCGAAGTTATCATGCTCAAGTGTTTCTGCCACCAGAGAGTCAATAACTGAGATGGCTGAGCACTCCTCCATTTCACTCGGGAACCTCATTGCCTTGAACACATTAAATGTGACCTGTTCGTCTTGCACCCTTATGGTCAATTCTCCTTTCTGAACATCAATCAAGGTGCAGCCAGTTGCAAGAAAGGGCCTCCCTAAAATTATGGACACTTCTCTATCTGCTTCATAATCAAGAATAATAAAGTCGGCAGGAAAAATGAACTTGTCCACCCTTACCAGTACATCCTCGATCTTTCCTTCAGGGGTTGCGATTGACCTGTCCGCCAGCTGCAAAGATACTATGGTCGGCCTTGCTTCTCCAATTCCCAACCTCTTGAATATTGACATCGGCATCAAGTTTATGCTCGCTCCCAAATCACACAATGCTCTACCAAAGTATTGGTTTCCAATAGAGCATGGAATAGTAAAACTTCCTGGATCCTTTAACTTGGGCGGGAGTTTGTTCTACAGAATAGCACTGCATTCTTCAGTCAGAGCCACTGTTTCAAACTCCCCGAGCCTACGCTTCTTGGTCACTAGATCCTTCATGAACTTAGCATAGCTTGGCATCTATTCCAAGGCTTCCACCAGGGGTATGTTGATGTGTAGCTATTTCAAAACATCTAAAAACTTACGGAACTGCCCATCTTGTTGATGTTTCTGGAAACGTTGTGGGAATGGCAGAGGTGGTCGGCTTCCACTAGGGTTGCTGGTCTTCGCTGATCCAGAATGCTGCGGAAATGCTGCAGCATTCTGCACATCAGAGTCTAGTTGCTTACTCCTGAGCTTTTCTTCTTGTGGCATTGTTTTCTTCTCTCCCCCTTGGATTGAAGTGGGCTCTGTGTGAGCAGCCATAGGTTTTGCTTTAGATTCCAACTCCTTTCCACACCTTAGTGTGATAGCTTTGTAGTGTTCTTTCCTGTCTTTTCGTGGATCTTCGGTATTGCTTGGGAGAGAACCTTGGGGCCTGTTGTTCAGAGAGTTTGCGATTTGTCCAACCTAATTTTCTAAATTCCACAGTGCTGCATCATGGCTCTGGATTTTGGCTTCACTCCTTGAAATAAACTCTTTTAACAAGCTCTCCAAAGAGCTAGATTGTTCCACGGCTTGAGTTCTTTGTTGTTGCGGTGGATATCCAGGTGGGTAGGTGTTTCTGTGGTAGGCATTGGGTTGACTGGTACTTGCTCCCGGATTGCTCCATGATAAGTTTGGATGTTGCCTCTGTTGGTTGTCCGAATCGAATCCGGCTGCGGAAGCGCGGTGGTGCGGGGAAGAGGCGGATCGTGTATAACAAAAATTTTCATAAAACTTTTGAGATACTCTATAGATTATATTAATTTATGCACGAATAAATTAATCTCATTAACTTATATATATCAAGAACTCAATCAAAAAAATACCTGGAAGCCGACTTCGGATGATAACTTGAGTTCTTTGACCACGAACA